ACACACACACACACACACACACACACACACACACACACACACACACAATACCCCGTGCCCCCTATAAAGATATATTGATGTTTATTTGTTCATAGATGAGATTAATCAAAATCAGTTAAATGTGAATGTTAGTTCTCTTTATTCAGAAAATCCACACGTCACATTTCAGGATCCGGTATTTATAGACACAGATTAAATGTTCAATATGAATTTTTCTATATTTATCACCACAGTCATCGTGTTACACACATTAGTAGTTGTAAACACTCAAAATAATACATATGTTGGTTTAGTGCTTACCTTTAACCTAAACATTTAAGGAGTAACATTTTTAATAATCACTTTAAAAGTTATAAATGTTGTCTTTGGTGCCTGTTTGTTTTCCATATATATTGGTGTGTTTGAATGACGGGTATTAACATAAAACACTTTGTAGAACGGTGCTTTATGAAGTTCAGTCCACTTCCTTATATCAGTTGACCAGTAGTTCAGCCACATCCAATATGGCGGCCGCTCCAAGTACTACTGTAACGGGTCAGCCCATTCAATGAGGTGTCTATCAACTGCCTCACCAGTACTCTGCTGTGAATGCCCTGGCAGAGAAAGGTCAGGAGAGCTTTGCTCTGAAATAATGATGAATGATTGTTTGAAATGTGTTTAATAGGTTAAGTCAAAAACCGCCGATCTGACTCCAAGTCCGGCCAAATTATCCCCACCTGCCCGCCCAAAGCAATTTTTACCCATAAAATCAAAATGAAAACCGCCCAATCTGGCTACACTGATAACAATTTGCACATTAAAAATTTAACTTATCAGCCAAAAATAAGCAGAAGTTTGTTGTGGCTGAGTGGTTAAGGTGATGGACTACAACTCCATCAGGGTCTCCCTGACAAGGTTCAAATTCTTCCAGCAATGATTGCAAAATAAAGAGGGTTTTTTTTGTGTACTGAAAAATGCAGCATTCTTACAGAGGAGGTAAAAAAAAAAGATTTTTAAAAACAAAACAAGACACAAAAACTCCACTTGTTGCTGCTGTTCATGTACAGGCTAGTGTTAGCATTGTAGCACAAAATAACTTTAGAAAGCCCATCAGCTCTTGCTTTTAAAGGGAAGCTAAATGTATTTAAGACTGTTTAAAGTTTATCCATATAGCAATTAATTAAGCAGAAAATTAATATAGGGATTTTTATTTTTTACAACAGTGTTCAAATTTGAAACGCAGTCACTTGTCACTAAATTTTCCCGGGCAAAAAGGCCATGGTTCAACACCCAGTGCACTTACAAAAACCTGACCCTAAACTGATAAGTACTTTAAAAATCAAACTGGTAACCTGTGGTATAATAAGGCTATAAATAATCATGTTCTTGCTCTTATGAGACATGAGTTTTAATGTGTTATGTTATCCTTAATAAATATTGCTGACCCACAAACAGATATTCTGGTTTAGCAGGTTAATTTATGCCTTTCACATCTCAGTTTACAACAGGTTGCTTTTTTCAACCGGCAGCAGCTGTGTGAGTGTGTTAAGATGATATCTCCTAAAGAAGAACGTAAAGACAAGATGGCTCAGACAGTGAGAGAAAACAAAAAAACTGAGGAAGCTGGAGATAAAACTATTTGGAACAGAAATAAAAAAAGGTGAGGTAACCTTTTGTTCCAGACGGTCTATAAGCTTCTGCAGCCTGTTGACCTGGATCGTCCACTGACAGTCTTCATCGTAAACACCTGGAGTGAAGAAAGAAAAAAGCAAAGAGGATACTGCATTTTAGTTGGAAAAAGTACACAACAAATGTGAGCAGATGAAAGACGCCACAAATATTGACTTTTAAAAATATGTTCCTCCATCAATTTCTCTACTATAAGTGGGGGCAGTGTGTGCGCAGTCTTTCATGTCACACTGGGACCAGGCCTGCCAATCAATAGAAAAGCTTTGAGCCCTGAAATCAGTTTGTTCTGCATTTGGTTCACGGACCTTCTGGTAGTCACAGCTGGTGTTGTATCAGAGAAGCAATAGAAAGTCGGTATTTTGCAATGCATTGTGGTCTAGATATATTCATGCCTACTTCTGGTTCTTTAATCATGACTTCCTTATCCAACTAAAAATCACTGTGTGAATGTTTATGAAGCATTCACTCTATTGTGATCCATTTTTCTTCCGTATGCTTTTTGGAGCAAATCTCATCCCGCACTATTCAAGCTATTTCAACAAATCATAAATCAAAATGTTCAGCTCTTTCAGGACAATCCTGCTGTGAGTTTTGGTATTGGTGTAATTTTAGCTTCTTGAAACATTTAGCCTTTTCTGCATTTTTTTTCCTCATAGAAAATGAATTGAGCTCATTTTACATCCTTCACATCTTTAGATCTGTTTACAACCTTTTACTGCTCCTTTCACAATTTGTTCTGGTTCAGCTTCTTTCAGCTTCCTTGTGCAAATTTAAGCATTTTTTTCAGCTAATTTCAGCTGTATTTTGCTCCTTTCAGATTCTTTCTGCTGAGTACAACAATCTCGTGCTTCTAATTTCTTTCTGCTAATTTCAGCTTATTTCTGCAAGTTTCAACTTTTTCTACTATTTCATCTATTTAGCTGTTTTTATGCTAATTTAAGCTTTTTCAGCTAATTACACACTTTTTTTGCACTCATTTCAACTTTTTTCAGCCTAATTCAGCAAAAATGTGCTCTCTCAACTTCCATCTTGTAATTTCAGCTTATTTTTGCTTTTTTTTTTAGCTACGTCTCGTTATTTTTTTTTGCTAATTACAGCTTTATTCATAAAATTTCCACTTTTTTGTGGTCTTTTCTGCTTCTTTCAGCCTAAATGGGAAAACGTGTTATTTCTGATTTCTTATCCTAATTTAATTTAAGCTTGTTCTATCTTTTCTGCTACCTTTTTAAAGCTTTTTTTTTTTAGCTAATTTGGTTGTTTTCAGATAAATTCAAGTTTTTTTTGTGGTAATTCAGCCTAATTAACTTATTTCAGCTAATTTCATCTTGTTATGCGCCTTTCCTCTTTTTTCTGCTAGGTTCAGCCTTTTCTGCTATTTCAGCTACAATTTAGCTGTTTTGGTGCTAAATTGAGCTTTTTCAGCTAATTCCACATTTTTGAGCTCATTTCAGCTAATTCCACTTCCTTCTGGTAGTTTAAGCTTCTTTCTGCCTTTTCAGCTACTTTTCTGCTTTTTTTGTTGCTAATTTCAGCTTTTTATAGCTAATTTCCTAATTTTTGTTCTAATTTATGCTTATTAGAACCTTATTCAGAAAATATGTGTTCTTTCTGCTTTCTTCTGCTAACTTAGGGCTTGTTCTTCCATTTCAGCTAAATTTCAGCACGTTTTTAGCTATTTTCAGCTGTTTTTCAGCAAGTTCTTCAGCAATAAGCATTCACACTTTATTTTTACAGGAAATGCAATTTCTTTAATTAAAAATTATTCTTAAATTTGATCTTTGATTTCACATTTATCAACGGTTGGTATTCTACTATAGCTACAGGAACTAGCTATGAATTAATTTAGGACTGGGGTGTCTGACTTTACTATCAAGATTAATTAAAGATTAGTATGGTGCTTTGCAACTGTGGCATCTGGCATTAATGCTCTTCCGAATCAAACATACGGATCCAGTTCTATAACATTGAACTAGATGTCAGTGTCTACTGGTTACGGTTGCCATTTTCTGTTAAATATGGATAATGTTAAAAATACATGGAGCAACGCATCCTCATCTTCTGCCTCTCCATCACCTCCTGCGCTGCGCTTTCTGACCTGCAGTGGGATGCTCTCTGTAGCTCTGCAGTTTGTTTCTTGGCCAACAGCAACGACACAGTGAGCTATTTAAAGTGCGCATTAGACACAAACAAAACAAACTAAAACCCCACCTGAGCTGATGAGACTGATGAGGGGGTTGTTGGGAGAGAGGCTGTTGTTCCTCTGAAGCCTCCGATTGGAGCGACGACCTGACAGCTGGATGGACAAAACTTCAGGCTTCAAGGGGCCCTGTCTGAAGTCAGAACAGATCGATTATTGCTTTAACATCACAAAATGTTATTATTCGTTAAACAAAAAGAAAAATCATTTCAATACCTCCTGCTGTGTCACTTGTCCTGTTGTCCTAATGTTTTTGCAATATGCCATGACATCACACATAACACGTGCTGCTTGACTAAACTAACTACAACGAAACGTAAAATGATCTTAGTCAAAAACTCTAACAATAGCTGACTTAAACAAGTACTAGTTCTTTAATTTATATTTTATTTTCCATGGCACACAGTGAGTTATAGATGTGTGTTGGACCGTGTGTAATCATGTTACAGTACATGTGGTGTTCCTGTCATCACAGGTTTCCTCTCACAGTGGGAGACAGCACCCGGCTGACAGAGCTCTAGATCGCAGGATTTGTTTCAGCTGAGAATAAATTTATTAAAGCCCCGGAGTTGTCCTGACTTCTGCTATATTTGTATGTTGTGCCGAGCTGACATTGAAGCTAAAGTCAGTGACAAGGTGCACATTCCTACAGGGTGACATCACCTGAGATTTATCCTGCTGCTGTCAAATTAGTCAGTCCTGTTTTTTATTTTTTTATTATTGTTAAAGACTGCAGGGATTCTGAGGGGAACACTTGAATGTGTGTGTTTAGGAGGAATATTTGTAGCATTTTTTTAAAGTCTTTGTATGTTTATATGTGTTTTTAGTACTTTCTGAGGTTAATGCATGTTCACAAGTGGTTGGGACAGCGTGTATAATACAGTTATAACTTGAGTGAAATGCTTTTAAAGCAAAAAAAAAAAAAAGAACATAACATGTCAAATATTTAAATAAACACAATTGTTTCTTTTAAAAAAGTACATACCTGTTTTAAAAAATAGACTCCAGAAACATATTTTTATTGAAACTTTGTTGGTGTTATAAATAAAAATCTTACGAAACATATAAGTCGGTGATCAGAGTATATGTTGGGAATCACTTGTCAGGGGGATTCAGGTAAAGGTTTATGGATGCTTATCACTGCTAATGTTAAATTAATGTTGAACCATGTGTGTGAGGTCAGAAAGTTCTTTTTCTCTCTCAGAGAAGAACCTGCAGGCACCTGACGTCTCTGAGTCTAAGAGGCTGAGGTCATCGTGCTCATAAGCATGTATAAAAACACTTCCTGTACACTGCTCGTGGCTGATCTTCGCGACTGGGGCTTCCATTAAACATCTTTGTAAGCCTGTGTGAACATCTGCCCTTGCAAGTAAACTGAGTAAAAAAACCCTCCTGTCTTCATGCGTGACTCTTGTTAAGTAAGTAGATGAAAAGACATTTTTACTCAACAGTTTGGTCCTTCGAGCCGGATTCAAACCAGCAACGTAAGGATCTAAACTCCACAGCTACCCCCATACCTAATGTTAACTCTGGTTAAGTAAAATTGATTAAGCTATAGCCATTTTTGTGTTTGCAAAGGTTCATTAGCTGTGGTAGCCATCTTGTATCAAGACTGCTCCAAAAATTAATCAGATTTATTATTAACTTTTATTTAACCAGGCAAATCCCATTGAGATCACAGATCTATTTTGCAAGGGAGGCCTGGGCCTGAAAGCAGCATAACATGCATGTTTTTGGTCTGTGGGAGGAAACCGGAGTACGTGGAGAAAACCCAGGCAAGCACGAGAAGAACATGCAAACTTCACACAGAAAGACCCCAGGTCTAAGCGGGGATTGAACCCACGACCTTCTTGCTGTGAGGCAAAAGTGTCGTGCTGCCAGATGTTATTTTGCTAACAGACAGACAAATGAAGAAATGCACACAAAGGCGATTATATAATTGCCCACCTTCCATCGTAATAAAAAGTTAGCACAGAGGCAACAACGACTGGGAAACCGATGCAAACAAACAAAACAGGATGGAGCATCTAACAGCTCGTGAAACAAACAACAGATTGCTCTGATTTAAACAAAACGTCACCAAACGCATCACATTTCAGAAGTATTCTTCAGCCCCTCACAAAGTAAATTATTTATACATAAAAAAACTTTTGCTGTCAAATTTATACTGAGTGAAGACAATTTGCTGCAATGTGAAGAATCTATATTAGAACCGACAGGAACGTCGTCATAAAGGTGAAAATCTGTCAAGAAGGAATGCTGCTCTGAAATGATCTAAAACAACAACAACAACAACAACAACAGATGAGTTCAGCAGAGTTTAACTTTTTTAACTCAGAACTTTTAAAGTGGACTCCTGTGAAAATATCATGAACAATCAGCATCTTACCTGTTGCAGGGTTATTTACACAAAATTCTCAGCTCATTTGCAAACACAAAAAGTTGCAGCTGCAGTAAGGTTCACATCTTAAAAAAATATAGTATTTTTGCTGAAATGCCTATAAAATACAAAAACACAACATATATGTAAAAATGCAAAAGTGTGAGCATGAGCCTCTCTTTAACTGTTAGGATCGAGTTGTTTTAAGATAACAAATCAAATTTTCTCTTATCCCTGCTCAAACTAGCTGTTAGCTCATCAGCCCAGTCAGAATTAAACTTCATTTCTCTCCAAACTGAGGAACTTCAAAGACAAACACACGACAGGTGAGATACTGATTGTTCATAACTTTTCAATAGAACCACACTTTAAAAGATCCGACTATTCATTTAAATGATATTTAAGGATGATCAAGGTTTTAAACGAGAGGTTGTTTTTATTGTTCAACTCAAACATAATGAAATGAAGAAAAAACAAACTAAATGTGAAGAGCTTGCAGCGCTACAATAAAAATTAGCTTATTTCTGAATATTATTAGTTTTTGTTAAGAGGTGAGTGGCTGTGGCATGTGACACTACTTATAGGAGCATTTATTCTTAATGTTCCATCCTCAGCCTGGCAGAAATGCAGCGTAAAATATTCACAAACTGCAGGATCTATGGAGAGGGAGGATTTCATGCACACCCACTGAGTCATATTATCAGCTAAAACTGTCAACTTAAAGAGGAGGAAATGAGGTTAAAAGCTGGAGAATAAAGTTTAGGGGTAAAAATAGCAGAAGGGAAACGAGGACTAGAATATAGTTGTTCACCTAGATGTTTTGAGGCTGTTCTTTATTAGAAAGTGACTGAGCTGTCATCAGAAGCTAACAGCATCTGAAAACTCACATATACAATCAGCTTTGTGCATTTGGTTAAATCAACATTATTAAAGCCCATCATTGTTGATGTATTGCCTGTCGTTCATGCCACAGCTTTAGCTCATCTTATGCTGAGAAATGACGGAGTTGTACACATTTCAGTCAAGCCTTGAAAATAACTTTAAATGTGATCTCACCAAATGTTACATTCAGAGTTTGTGTTGATGACTCTCAGCTACCATCACACCATATTTCAGCTCTTTATCTGCAAAACTGACTGAGTTAGAGCCATTTTTGCGTTGCTGACGTCTTTTAGCTGTGACGGCCATCTTGAATTTGATTGATTCCAAAGGTTAATCCCTTGTAGATGCACTTTTAGTGACTATTTCCTAAAAGTTTCATTGAAATTCACCCAGGAAATCATAAGATATTTTCCTGACAGACAAATAAAGTTGACTCTGCTCAGAATTAGTGCTCGGAAAATGTTTGGGGATCACTCTAAGCTACAACTACACCAAATTTTAGGTCAGTATCTGTTAAACCAAGTTATAGACTTTTATATGTTTTAAGATCAAATGGCTGAGGCAGCCATCTTGAATTCAGTTAACTTTAGATGTAATCTAATGATTACTGATGATTATTACCACTCATGGAGTGAGACACACTTTAAACTGCTTCCTTACAAATACATGCTAACGTAAGGATAATGCTAACAAAACATGTCAGGATGTATTTTTTTGTTTATTTTTGATAGTCATTTGTGTTTATTGTTGGTTTTATTTTCCTTTTTGTTTATTATGTAAGGTTTTCTGTGTTCTGTTCTGTCCCTCTTAGCCATTTTTCATTCATTCAGTTTTGCTCTTTCACCTCATGCCCCGCCCACTTTCACCTGTTCCTTGTTCTCATTTTTCCCAGGTGTCTCTGTTCATCCGCCCCTGTCCATATAACCTTTCAGTGTTCACTCCTTCCTCAATTGAGCATTATGCATTACTCATGCCATGTCTGGGTTTCCCAGTGCCTCCTTGTGCCACGCCTCAGTTTGTACATTTTGCTGCCACGCCATTCGTTTTTAATGAAACAAAGTTTGAGTTCCTTATGTTAGTCTGTATCTTTGGCTCCAAACGCCTCCGTAAACCGTGACAAAATAGAGAACGTGTGCAACCCGCATCAAACAAAAACAACTTCGAAACTGTGAGTTTTAATTTGTGTAGGATTGTTAAGATCAAAGTTTTCTTTTTCTTTCTCTTCAGATTAATATCTTCTAACAATCTTAAATCATGAACAAAGGAGAGGAGACTGCTTTAACGTGGAGACGGCTTGTTTTCAACACTAACGATAAAACAACCGTGTCACTCAGGCTCCTTTCTTCTTCTTTTTTTTTTTTTACATCCATCTTAGATTTCAACTACACATTTTACCATAATGTCAAACTTCCTGTCTGAAACTACGGAAGCCTAGTAGGCTAATGAAGTAACTCAAACCAAACTCTAATTAAACAAACATAAATATGCTTCAAAATCAAATATTACTTAAACTATATTTCACTATAAATGGTGCTTACATTTGGGTTTCTTTTAAAATGTGCAGAAATCATTTATTGTGTTGACAGCACATAAAAATAATATTAAAAATATATACGAATTTGAATTTAAGTAGTTCAGTTTACTGTAAATATTTCTGTCGCCACTAAAGTTTGATACATTATCAGTTTTGAAAAGTTAAAAATATTAAATCTACCAGTTGAGCATTTTTATCCCAAAATTAAAGAAACATGTTCACCCATATAAACAAAGAGCACTTTTTCTATTACCCACTAATGAACCGAGCTGGTGCAATAAAAATAATTATTTAGGAAAGCTCATCTAGATCAGCTGGTTTCACCATTATTTCAGCATTAATGATCCATTCAGCTAGAGTTAGTGATGCCGTTTTCTCATTAATTTCCTTCTCCAGCAAAGACTGGGGAGCAAACGTAAAATAAAATAAAAAACTGAAAACACTGAGGTTGAAAACTGATTTCTTTCTTTCTAACAGCAACTTCCAGCTCGCTCGTTTAAACCCAGACAGGTGTCGAGACGCAGAAAAGTCTGTGCGTCATTCCCCGTCATAAAAATACGCGGCGCTGCAAATAAACTCAGACGTTACCTGCAGGGCAAATGTTTGTTCTTACAGTCCGTGTCAGAAAACCTGTGCATGTGTGCATTCGTTGGGTGAGTCATTCTGCTTCGTTAAAGACCCGAGCGCACCGGGGGACCGTTGGAGATCTGAGCACAGACCCAGACTGATGAAGTGCAGCATGCAGACGGGCTACAGAACCCTGTGAGAATAAAAGCCTCATCAGTGCCGCGCTCTCCTCGCAGAGCCAGAGAAGGGTTCATTATCGCTCCCTGCATTTATGAATATGCTATTAATCTGATCAGGACCAAATAATGGCATCATTTATTCATGGCCTTTTAAGTTCATTTCATTTAACGGTTAGTGAAGAAAACTATTTTTTTTTAGCATTAGTGTTTTGATGAATCCAGAAAATGGGTTATTGTAGGATAATTGAGAGGAAACCACAACAATGTGTTTGGCGTATTAAATGTTTGAACAATTCAATCAGTTCAGCCTTAAAAGACTGTTTTCATTTTCTACATGTAAAACTTTGTCTTTTATTCCTCTTTAACACTCATCTCGACACAGAAAAAGACGAAACCATCATTTTAGTTCTTAATTTATTCAGTATTTTACTATGATGAACTTTCATGTTGGAGCTTTAGATTAAAATCAATTTAAAGTGCCGCTTTTTATTTCAAATCTTGAAAAACAGCATTGTGCACCATCCATCATGAGATATCACACTCGGAGCATGTGTTACAGACGACTCTCAGCTACTACCACACCAACTCGTAGCTCTATATTTTTTAAAGTGAAAGATAAATAGTCGTTTTTGTGATTTTTTAAATCGGTTGGTTGCGGCGGACATCTTGAATCACCCGCATGTCAGCGTTAAGCTATAAAACGTAGATAAAGATGAACTGTTTTTAACTAACAGGAAAATCTTCGAGTCTCTTAAGAATGACAACGTAGATAACTCCTCTAACAATCTTTATAAACAGACGCAGCATGAAAGAAGCTGGACTCCTGAAAAACTTGAGAGAACAGCCACGATATGTCAGTAAAACTTTACTCTGTCAGATTGTAGGCCTTTCAATCAAGCAGCACTTTACTGCAAGCAAAACACAACTTATATACATTTACTATTTGAAATCCAGGTGCATTTTTTTATTTATTTTATTTTGGAAAATCGTTTCAAAACTTTGAAAATTTAATTGGAAAAGGAGAAAGAGTGAGATGCAGTGACAGCTCGAAGTAAAACTTAATATTTAAGCCAAATAAATAACGATAAAATGATAATAAGAATGTGTTGTCATTGTATGTTTCCATACAATGGCAAAATTGGCTCTCTACATTTAACCCATCCACCCCCAGGTAGCGCAGTGGGCAGCTATTGGGGGGTGCCCGGGGAGCAATTGGGGATGGGGTGTCCTGCTCAGAGACGCCACAAGGTGCGCAATGGGGATTGAGCCTGGGACTTTTGGGTCCTGAGTCGGCTGCCCTGCCTCTACACCATCTCGACCTCCTTATGAATAAATAAAAAAGCATGGGAGGAGAATAATAATGGTGATAACTACCTGCAAAACATTTGTTTGGTTTGTCCTTTCCAGGCTACTGTAGTAAATCAAGCGCTTGAAAACAGTCTTAAAATCACCAGTGCTGATATTTTGCTGCACTACAAGCAAGCAACTTTAAACATTACACACATTAAAGTACAGTAGTCCCTCGCTACTTCGCGACTCATTTATCGCGGACTCGCTCTATCGCGGATATTCAAAATAAGATTGGACATGACACACAATTGGCTGATTGATGGATGAGTCCCACGACCAGCATGGAATTTTTATTTAAAATAAATTATTTCGCACTTCCTGCATCGTGTGTGCAGTCCACATCTGAAGGAGAAACTTCCTCCTGCAGAGTGTCATATCTCCGCACTGCAGCGGAGAAGTGGGCGTGGCCAAGTGCGCTGGCAGAGAGCAGCCAGAGGCAGAGAGCTGAAATCATCTGTGCTCTTTTAGAGCGTTTAGAGTTTAGAAATATAGTTTAGAATATATATATATAT